AAAAGTAAGTTACATTTGATATTAAATATAAAAACATTGTATAAAAAATATATTAAATTAAAAATTATATATTGCAGATTTTAGGTATAACAACTAATAATGTAAACAACAATATAACTTTTTTTAGAGCTCTTGAGAATACATTTATTAAAAACAATTATGATTTTAATGCAATTAATCAACATGTTTGATATCTTGCCCACATAATTAATTTTATAGTACAAAAAATCTTACAAGCATTAAATATTGAAAATAATATTGAATTAGAAAATAATATTGAACCAAATAAAATAATATTGAGACTTTATATAAATAAGTTTTATTTAAATGTTAATAATTAAATTATATACAGTATATTAATAATTTATAATAAATAAATAAATAAATTTTCAAATAAATATAAAAAAAACTCTTTCCTGTATACAATTTTTTTCTTAAAAATTTCCTTTTTTAGTAATTATCTTTCAAAATTAAAGAAGCAAATATTTTTTTTACCTTTCAACTTCCCAAAGTCCTTCACACATTTATACCTTTACTACAAGAATCTCAAGAAAACTAAAGAAATATATTAGTGCATAGAAATAGAACATCTGGTCAAAGGAAAGCAAGTTTGAGAATCTTACTTTTTCTTTGGATTGCATAAGAAAAGACCTGTGGCAGTTACTTCTTTATAAATCTTTCTTGAGATTCTTTTCATTTTTATTTCTTACAAATATATATTTTTTATTAAATAATCATATTCTTTTCTTGGAAATCTTCTTTGCAAATTAAAAAACAAAACCACACATAAAAAATGTTTATATTGTTAACTTGAAAGACCAGCAATATATTCATTGTTTACTTTTTACTATCACCTAGTATAATTTGCTATACTACAAAAATCAAAAAACTTTTTTTCAAAAAAATTTTTACAAAAAAACCGCAATCAGATTACTTTTATCAATTAATTAACATCTTAAAACCAACCAATTAAACATTATCAATTATTCAAACAAATCCATACTATCAAAATACTACTCACTGATCAATATAAACAAAACCTTTTTCAGCAATAACTATCAAAACAAAATCACATTACTAACAAACAAACCAATTATACCATCAACAAACAAACCAATCACTGAATTATTGGTCATATTAACAAAACAACAATATAATTATCACAATAAATTAACTATCAAAGAAATATATAATTAATACTACTGTATACTTTGGACAGTAGCCTGGCTATTTGTAATAAGTATACACACATTATATATATTTTCTTATTACCATAAAAGGAAATTTGATTGACAATATGATTTTGAATTAAATACAATTTCCAATTACTTACCAATTGTTACTTAGTAATACAAACATAATACAGTTTTTGAAAAATGTCTAAATTAAATACAAACATATACAGTATATAATACATACCATATTTCAGTTAAATGGAACTATCAATATGGTGTGCTTATTCAGAGCATTCTTAGTTTTATAATTAATTTTTTTGCATCTATTTTTTTGTTTAATATTTTATTTTTTTTTTACTTCTTATAGTCTTTTTATATATAAATCTGAGTAGGTATTTATAACTGTTTGGTATTATCTTTAAGAATATAATGTTTTAATATTTTTTTTCCTTTGTAATTTAAATAGTTTATCATAAGCAAGCTAGTATTAAACTTGCTGATCAATTGGTTATGTGAGAGATATTGTTACTTTCTTTATATATAAATTTTTCTATTTTACAATTAAAATAAAGTGATGATGTTTATCTACTTTAAAAAAAAAATAATAAATAATTTTATAAATTTAATAAAAGTGATATGTAAAATTATAATTGAAAAAAAAGTTAACAAAATTAATTATTAATTTTATATTAATAAAATCTTAAGATTTTTAGTTTTATTTTGATATAATATAATTTTGATATAATAGTTTTTAAATAATAAATAAATAAATAAAAAGTTTTATAAAGTTTTGTTATATACTACATATTTGATATAATATTTAATGTATCATATATTACTTGTCTTTTGCAAAAAATTTTAATAAACAATACAATTAAAAAAATATCAATGTATATACTGTATCTGAACAAGACTGAAATATTAAATAAAATATATTAAGTTTAAAATTTTTTAATATAAATTAGTCAATTTTTTTTTTAACTTATTAATTTTAAATATATTTATAATTAAAGATAATAATTTAACTTAATTAATAGAAACTTGATTTAAAAATTAAAGTTACAGTAATTTTCAATTATAACTTAAAACTTTAAATAAAAATATAAATTTTATAATAATTTTAATAATTTTGACTTGACTTGTTTTTATAATACTTATTATAAGTTTGGATAAAAAATATTTTTAATAATAATATAAGATTTATAATGTGATTTATAATTTTTTAATAACAATACATTTGACAATTCAATTAAAAAAACATTAGAAAATTATTTAATCTTTTTTTCTTTATGCTTATTTTTAACAAACTTTTTAGTAACAGCAAAGCATAATAAATAATTTGGAAATTTATAATGTACCAACAAGCTGATGTCTAAAAGTAAATATAATAAAACATATGCTTCTGATTACTAGCATAACATGGTAATGCATTTTCCATATTGGAATATACAAATAAATGATTATATAATATAATTATATATTTGTCAATTTTTTTAATTGTTATATATATTTTTACAAAATATTAAAAAAGAAAAAATTTTAACTGTTAATAAATGTCCAGAAAACTTATGGCCGGGAAGTATGAAATCATAATTTACAAAGTTTTAAATTCTCGTTTTTTTATCATGCATTAAAAAAAATTGTATATGTCATAAAGTTAAAGGGTGTTTTATGTGGCTTAAGAAAATTTGTTGGCATAAAATAGAAAAGAACTCTTATAAAATAGAAGAATGAGATTCAAAGATACAATAAGATTGTAATATCATAAGTTTTTAAAGAATTGTAATTAAATGTCCTATCCTAATTGTAAATAAAATAAGCACTTAATACAAGATGCGACGAAAAAAAACATACGCAGCTTAGAATGTCCACTAAGGATGTAAAAGGCATCCACTAACAATTCTTTTCTGAAAATCTTGAATATAAGCGACCATATCTGTATTATCCAATTTCACACCTGAAGATCTCACGGTAGGTCCTATCTCCCTTTCTAACTGGATCAATGCATACTTGATCTTTTCGATATTATCCAACAGTTCGGTGTTCGTTGATTCAAGTTCACAAGACTCCTGAAGAATTTTTTCATCGTTAGATTTGATGGTTTGAATTTCTGAACGCAATTCTTCGATCTTGTTAGCACTAGACTTGTTTTCCTGTTCTAACTTTTTCTGATGCTCGCGTTTTCCTTAAAAAATAACAAAAATACATCGGTTTAAACTTAATGAGTAATTCTAAAACCTTAATTTTGAAATTTACCTTTGTCATGCGATAAGAATTTTTTTGTGAATATCGAAAATCCTAGTTTGTGTTTACGGGATTCTTGTTCTCTATCTGTGGCAATTAATCATGTATAATTGAGGGGCATCAAAATTCCATATATTGAATACAAAGACTACAAATGCCTATAAAGTTTACCAATTGAAATATCTGATTTTAAACATGAATCATCGTCGCTAATTTCGGAATTTCGTTTGATGTTATGCTAAAGAAATTTGAAAAATAGTCACATTAATAAAATCAAATTGTATTACGAGAAAAAATTTTTTCATGTCTTAAAAGCACCTTTTGTATTAACCTGTTGATTACGATTCATTTTTTTGTCAGCCACACGATGCATCCATTAATATATTAAAATTCCCTATATGTGATCTATGTAGAAAAACTTTCGATAAGATAACTTTAAGGGTTAACTTTCCACTTCAACTGTTCTCTTATTATTTATTATTCTTTTGCTTTCCGAGTTACTTGATGCATCCTCGGGTCATATTTTGACATCAATCAAATAATCAGTTTAATGATAATTGTTTGCTCCCATCATACATCTGACAAAGTTTTAATGATTTATTATATGATGTTGGTATATAAATAATGACCAAATTTCAACAATATAATTAAAGGTTTATTCATCATAAGCGAGGTGGCTTATTTTTCTTCTCATTTCAATCAAAGCGATATATAGTCTCCTCGATTTATTATTAAAATTTCTCTTCCCATAAAGTATAATCAAGCAAAATACTGATGTCTACTACAAGAACGCGAGCAAAAACAAATATTAGGTAATTGACGCATAAAGGATTTTTGGTATTGAGATATGAATTATTAATAAAAATAAATAATGACGGATAGATCGAGTTCATCTAAAGAGTCTGTTAGCACAAGTGTTACTGGTTTGAGTTCTACGGGCAAAGTTCGAAAAGATCGACGCAGGAAAGATCAACGCCAAACCAGAAGCGGAAGGAAGGTTGCGGATTATCACGAATCAACTTCTGAATATTCGGAAGAGGAGGAAAGTTATCTCATTCAGGATGAAAAGGATATAGGCGATTATACTATAAAAGTTCCTTCATCTGTAGCTCGAGAAAAGAGACCAATGAATGCTTGTGTCGTCAAGAATTTAAGATCAGACATGATAAGAATATACACATACTATATTTACCGAATTTCTGCTAAAACTTTCAATGTTTGTAGCATATTTTCTTTTCAATTTTACAAAAATAAATAATTTTCGACAGACTTATTAAATGTAAATTAATTTAAAGTTATTTTTTTTTTCTTATGTCAATAAAAAATAATATAATATTTACTGTATATATTATAGCTTATAAGTTATTAAATAAATAATTTTTAATATATTAATAATATATATATATTGTTAGGACATGCCACATAATCTTTCTAATAAAGTAAATACAAATTCATTTTACAGTGGCTCTCAAAAGTAATGCATTACTTGATTAAAAATTTTTAAAGCCAGCTTTTTCTTTATTTAACTATTGTATAACAACTCAGGAATTTTATTTATTTAGAAAAAAAAATTAATGTAAGCTATAATATAAATTTGACTTATTCTTTAACAAAATTTACTATATTAATTAATTATTTGTTTTTTTTTCACTGATGCATTTCTTTTGATCTATATTAAACTATATTTCTATATATAAATTTATAAAATAAAAAAATAAAAAATAATAATACAAAATTTTATATTAAACATCTTTATTATTTAATGTATTCTTTATGTGTTTTAATAATATCATAAACTTTTATAATATTATATTAATTAACTTGTTACACTCAATATTATTCTATATGGGTTTTAAATTTTTTCATAAGTTATTTATATTAAATGAAGAATTAGAAAAGTGTTATAAACATTTGTTAACTTTGTTCAATTAGATTTATATTGAAAGATTGTGCTAATAAATCCAATATATTAATTGAATTTTTGTTAAACCAGTTTTTAATTAATTTAACAGTAAAATTATTATCTTGTTAAAAGATAACCCAATTAGTATTAAAATTTAATTTCAAAAGAATAATTAAAAAACTTTCATTTAAAATTTAATAATAAAATTTTTGGTTTATTTTTTTTCAATTAAACAAAGATTTTCTATATCTTAAGTTATTATAGTATTCCAAATTATTATTTTTTTATCTTTAAATTTAACAGTTGAAATAACATGTTTAATTAATAAAGATTCTTTTAGTTTTCTTTAACAATACTGTTTTTTATTAAAGTCAAATAATAAAAACATATTTTTGGTTAATTAAATTATATGTTTTCAATTATTTATAATTTAACTTTTATATTTTTTTTATTCAAATTAATGGTTTTTTTGGTAAATTTTTTAAAGTATAGAGAATTTTCTCTAAATATACAATAAATGAAGCAATTGTTTTAAATTATATATATATATTAAATCTTGATCTTTTTAAATATATACTATATTATATAAAAGAAATATTACATAAACAGTGTGAAAATCAAGTAATTCAAGTTTTTAAAAAGTGATTTTTATTAATTCCTCGATTTCAAGACTTAAAGATAATGAAAAATATATTTGATATAACTTGTTTAACTATCAATAAATTGCAAAATATAATGAAAATAAAAATTTTTCAACTGAATAATTTATATAATAATTATAGAAAGTTAGAAATAAGCAATAAACAGTTATGTCAAGTTTATTATAAATTTCTTCAAATATATATTACATCTCGAATAGAATTGTTTAATAACAATTCTATAAATGAACTTAAGGTAAATGATATTAAATTAAATTAATTACATTTGCTTTAATTAATAATATTTTCTATTATAAATATTTATTAATGATTGGATTCAAGAATTTAAAATATTTGTTTCATATTTATAAAGTAATTTGTAATTACCAAAGCTTTATATCTGGTATTATCATTTAATACTTGCAATAAATAGTATATTACAAAGATTTATGAAACCCTTTACAAAACATATGTTAAAAATCTATATCAAATATTTAATAAAA